CTGGTCAAGAATGAAGAACAGACCACCACATCTCCCACCTCCGAAACGTTCTGACTAAATGCACGAGATCAAGCACCTTTGGCGGACAGAGCTGAAGTCAACCCTTCCTCCCTGAAACACATTGCCCAAGGTGAGTACAGTGAGGATAAAACTAACACACGCCCACCACCGTGTTTTCTTCTGTGTCTATTCTGGTCTCCTCTCCGCAGAGCTGTGCAACCAGTCCATAGTCCCCCGAGTGTCCACCTCTGCATTAGGACGTCTTTACGACATCAGCCTGGCTGTCCAGTGCGGGCTTCCTAGAGACAGCCCTGAAGGCACTGATACTCCTCTTGTTAGATCTAGGCTGGGGTCAGACAGACGTTCCATCAGGTCCTTATACTGTGGAGAGGTGGGTGTGGGGTCCCTGCAGGCTGGTCCCCCACGTTTACGGGGCGCGGACCTTTCAGGGCGCTGTCCCGCCCTCTGGCAGCATAGCGTGGGTCTCGTGTGTGCACCGCCACGCTAACCCTGTTTGAGATCGTGGCTGCTGTCAACATCCTAAGGTATTTGCTTCTTATCTCTCCACCTAGACTGCAAACCCCCCCAGCAGTTGAGAGGTGGCCTTAAGTGTCTCATAAAAGGACAGGCACGCCCCCGCCCCGCCCCCCTGGGCGCTCACCAGGGTCTACACAAGGTTCTCCCTGCTTCACCAAACCCACGCTCTGTCTCCCCTCACATGAGCATTGCCACACATGAGGAAGCTGAAGCCACTTCACAAGGCCGATCCCAGGGTGGTGACTCAACTCCACTCCAGAGTCTCTGTCCTATTTGTGGGGACTGTCCCAGATGTCACGCTGAAAAGGAAAACCGCACGCTGTCCTTGTGTTGGATGGGTCTGTCCGGCTCATTCTACAAAGGCTTTTGGCCCAAAGCCATTTCTTCAGTTAGCAAATGAATGCCAGACAAATACCCAAGGACCCCAAGATAACCCGTCCTCAAAGTCACTCGCCCCTCCTGGCTGAAGCCTGAGCATCGACCACCCACCCCCACCCATACTTCTCTGGCACAGCCTTGCCCAAGTGTCCGTTCGCAAGATGGCTCTTGTAGGCATGAGCAGTTGCTAAACATCATACAGGCTGCAGTGCCAGCCAGAAAACCGCCTCAGCGGCTTGCATGCTCCCTACCCTCCAAGTTCAAGGCCAGGAAAGGGACATCCAAGCCTAGATTCCCCTGAATGGTGCCATAGATCCTGGTACTGGCCTATTATTGTCACAGAGCGGCTATTAAGCTGTTAGCCTCTGTTCCTACGCCTCCCCCCCACCCCAGTTCCCAGTGACGCCCAGTCAGAGCCCACTGTGATTCCCTCTCCCTTAAGCTCCCTGGTTTTCCTAGGCCATGAGCGTTCCTACCAATCTTCTCCTGGGGCGGAAACCCAGTCAGGTGGAGAGGTGAGGGCCCCACACAGGTCTGGATGGTTGTGAGTGAAGGAAGCCCTGGAATGACCTCATGCCGGCCAGCCCTACTTCTCCCCCCTCTCTCCTCACCCACATCTCCACAGGCCAAGGTCTGTGGATGGCCCCGCCCTCCTTCCCCTCACCCTCCTGGTGACACAGAGCCTTCCTCTCCCCACAGAGCCGTGCGCACCCTGTCTTGGGGTTGCTGGGGGAATGGAAACCCCGGGCACCAGAAGAGGAAGCAGAGGTTCAGCTGATGGTGCCTAACAGTGGAAGGCATGTCTCAGGCTGGAAAAAAACAGCCAGGGAGCCCCCCACCTCCACCCCAGTGAGGCGCAGGGAGGCCACAAGGAAAATCTGTGGGGAAGTGCTTGGGAGGGAGGAAGACCCCAGCTCTCTTGGTCCCTCTTTCCTGCCTGCCGCATCTGCACACTGAACCCTGTGGCAGCCGCCAAGTCTGCGCCACCCCTCCCAACGCCCCCCTCACCCCGCCACCTTGAATGGTGTCAGGCATCCTGGAGCTGACATCCATGCTATCCACCCCATGGAACAGCTAAGCCATTGACTTCTCTGCCTGCCTCGAAGGTCAACAGCAACACCCCAAGAACCAGCTAAGGCTCCTTCTCTCCCCCCTAAGCAGAGCAACATTCGCTAAGCAGGCACACAAGCAAGAACCTTGTCTAACTTTTTTTCTGATGGAGGAAACCGAGGCCCGGGGGAAGATTTGTGTCTCGGTGTTTTCACGATACAGCTGCCTCCCACACTGGGGGCCCCCACGGGGCGGAAAAGAAAGAGCTTCCAGTTGCATGAACACGTGGGGCTGAGTTTGAGCCAAGAACTCCCGTTCAAAAAGCTGCATGTGAGCCGGACGGTGGCTGCACGAGCGCCTTTAATCCCAGCACTCGGGAGGCAGAGGCAGGCGGATCTCTGTGAGTTCGAGGCCAGGCTGGTCTACAGAGCGAGTTCTAGGACAGCTTCCAAAGCCACAGAGAAACCCTGTCTCAGAAGAAAAAAGAAAAGGCTGCCTGTGACAGTGGACATGTGTGACGGCGCACGCTTGTGATACTGGCACCAAGGAGCAGAGAGACCGCTGGATTCTCGGGGCTCGGTGCCCACCCAGGTCAGCCTGCTTGGCCAGTGCTCGCCTGTGAGAGAACCCGACTCAAAAGATGTGGGTGGCGCCTGAGGAATGATACCCAAGGTTGACATCTGGTTTTCACACACGCACACACACACACAGGCCCACAAGCTTCCACCTCATCCATAGTGTCCCTGTCACACACGGCGCTCCTGCCCTTCCCACTGTCCACTGCCGTGTCCCACTTACACTCTGCAGTATGCAGAGTCATGGGCTGACACAGACACTTCAGCAGCCAACAGCCACACTGCCGTCCGCACACCTCTCTCTTCCCCAGGCTGGGTGCCTTTGTTCCCTCTGGGCCTTGGGACATTTTTGAGGGGTGGGGGTGTTTGGCACCCCTCCACCTGGATGGGTGTCCTGTGGCTTCCCTCTGGGGACACCACAGAAAAGACCCTTTGCCCCCTACCCAGAGCTAACGGGCTGTTATTTTGAAATCCCAACAAATAGACGCCCAGAGCGCCTTTTAGGCTGCGGTCCAACTGTTCCCAACTTGTGAGTCGTGACCCTTTTGGGGGGAGGTCGAGTGACCCTTTTACAGGGGTTGCATGTCAGATGTTTGCGTTATGATTCTTAACAGTAGCAAAACTGCAGCCACGAAGCAGGAGCAGCAAGAGCCATTTCGTGCTGGGGGGGGGGGGGGTCGCCGCAACATGAGGAACGGCATTGCAGGGTTGCAGCATTAGGAAGGTCGAGAACCACCATCTAATATTACTCAGAAGCGCTCCCGTGCAGTCTCTGAGAGGAGCCTGCCGGTGACCGCCTGAGGAGGAAGAGTAGGGTTGCACCCCCCCAGGACAAGGCTGTTAATCTGACCCGTGCAGCCCTAGCTTCCTGAGCCGAGCTATGAGAGGATGAATCAGCAGATGGAAAGGCTCACACAGGAAGTAGGGGCCGGGAGGCCACACATGAATAACCTCTAGTTGGTGCCACTGCTCTCCTCTGAGCATGTGACACCCCCCCCCCCAAGCTGGCGCATCCCTGGGTGTCAGTCAACTCCAATTCCGAAACCAGAACTTAAAAGCTGCAAAAAAAAAAAACCAAAAAAACAAAAAAAACCCCTCCCACTTCCTTCATCCTCACTCTCTTCCACTAAGCCTCGCCAGTGAGGCACGTGGGCACATTCGGGGGACCTAACTGCCCGCCGACTCCCGGGCAGGCTGCTCTGTGTGCTTTAGCGGCTTGGGGAGGCGAGGTTGGTTGCTTCGGCTTACGGCTTGCGTTGCGGTTCATCACTGAGAGAAGCTCAGGCGAGAACGGAAGCAAAGGCAGAGAGGATGCTGCTTACTGACTTCTTAGCCCCACGGCTTGCCCAGCCCGCTTCCCTCTGCAACCCAGGGCCATCTGCGCAGGGGCGCCACTACTCACAGTGCACCGGGCCCTCCCACATCAACCACCAATCGAGAAAACGCCCCACAGCTGGCCCATGGGCCAATCTGGTGGAGGCGTTGTCTCTACTGGGGGTTCCTTCTTGCCAGGTCACACTAGCCCGTGTCTAGGTAAAGAAACAAAACGAACAAAGCCCACCTAAGCAGGTACAGATTCTCCCAGTGTGTGCTGGGCACACGTTACCGAGCCCAGGTCCTCTCACCCTCACAGCAGCCCCAAGAGGCCAAGACGGTGACATTTCACAGGTGAAGAATCAAAGCTAAGCTAAAGATGTTTATTTTACAAATGAGGAAACCAAGGTTCAGGAGGACCAAGGCAGCCATCTCTCTGCAGAAGTCTGCCCTGACTCCTGCCTCCATGGGACTGATTTGCGGACCCTGATTAGGGTCTGGAAGTCATGGTGGCAGCCCGTGTCAGGAAGAACCCTGCACCTTCGTCCTCCTAGGAGGGCGCACGGCAGGAAAGCGAGAATTGAAGAGTGGCGGGGATGGGGGTGTAGGGTGGGGGGACCACACGGCGACACATTGCTGTGACCAGTCCTGTGGTCACGTGAGCAAAGCTTGCTGTTAGACTTTGGGTTTGGCCAGGCTGGCTTCAAAGATGAACACCTGTTTGACCTTGAAAGCGTACCTAACAAGACTACAAGTTTGATTGTAATAGGTGACTACCAATCTGCATTTATTTATCCCTAAATAGTTTGTAATAATAACTTTCAAGGACTATACATTTACGTTACATTGTTAAATGAGCTACATGGCTATGATACCTTAAACAAGTAGAAACATATGTACAGTATGTTCTGACAAAAATAACCTTAAATTGGTACCAATAAGCAAAAATATCTTAAATAAGAATGGAAACATAGCCGGGCGTTGGTGGCACACACCTTTAATCCCAGCACTTGGGAGGCAGAGGCAGGTGGATCTCTGTGAGTCTGAGACCAGCCTGGTCTACAAGAGCTAGTTCCAGGACAGCCTCCAAAGCCACAGAGAAATCCTCTCTCAAAAAACCAAAAACCAAAATGAAACAAACATAGAAAGACTGGAAACATATATACAGTATAACCTCAAATTTGTATCAACATACAAAAATCCATATGAATATAAAATATTCAAGACTAGTAGTTGCTTTTTTTGGCTTAAAAGTAGATCGAATAATATGCCCTTCTATCCTATCATTTCTATACCCCCTTTTTCTCTTCAGAACAGAATCTAATCTCCTTTATTTAACTTTCTTATTGACTATTACCAATGGAAACTTGTAACCAACTGCCCTAAAGGATGACAAATATCCATAATCCACTGATCAACCAAAAACTTCCCACCCTACCTCTTGGGAATGTGGACATCGTGTTCTTAAAGTTACTTACTGCTGTCTGGAGGCAACAGCATCTTTAGGGGGCCCTGATACAATTGAAATAATGGTCAAGTCCTGGGAGAGCTAGCTGTATGGTTTGTCGTCAGTCTCTGTGTGATGAGAAAGTGCAGGGCCCATCTGAAGTCCTGGCTGGAGGAGTCTGTGAGGCTGGACCACCTCAGCCAGCTGCCTTGAAATTGTCCTGAGCAGTTTGTAGTCCAAAGCTGATCTGTGGGTGGTGTTTGTCAGCTTACGGGGTTACCCCAATCCAGGTGGAATTGTCATCGTGGGGCCCCATCATCCCTTTGGAGACTCCAGAGGCCACTGTTAGGAATGGTCATGGTTCACTGAAGAAAACATAAACATTTTAAATGTCACATGCAGCAGATCTCGGAGAGGTTAAAGGGCCACACTTTGTTAAGTACATCCGGGGTCCCCAAGCTTAGTTCCTAGTCATCTCATTCAGACTCAAGCTCAGTATCATGCATCAGAATCTAGACTAAGCCTTTTTCTAGAAACAGTACTTTCTATATGACCATTAGTATCAGAAATTTAATATATATATGTAGAAATTTTACAAATTTTGAGATAATAGTTATACCTTAAGACAAGTTTTACATAGTCAAAATAAAACCAAAGGATTTTGAGATTAGTAGCAATAGAAGTCCCCTATCAGGTGGCTCTTCTGACATGAGACAGATATTCTGGATTTTACTTTAACAAGCATGCTTGGGTTCAGAGAAGGAGAGAGCCACACTTCAACTCCAAAGTCAGCTTTAAATTTTAATTGAACTGGGACTACAAAAAGACCATTTGACCTATATGTCTGTAGAGAACACAGAAACATCTGGGAAGATTTATGAAATTTTATCATGTTGGAAATGTGATATACAACTAGGTAAACTTACTCTTTTTTTGGGACATTTTCTCTGGATGATTTGTTCTTTTTCTTCAAATGTCTCATTTGTCCAGTGGTCTTCATATTCCTTAGTTGGATGCCTTCATTCTCCTGGAAAGACAAAAACAAAATCCTGTCCCAACCCTAACTTTGGGGAGTTTCCTTTTTGGCAGGTTATAGCTGATCAAATGGAAAGCATTTTTTTTTTTTTTGGTTTTTACGAGACAGGGTTTCTCCGTATTGTTTTTGAGGCTGTCGGTCCAGCCCAGCCTCGAACTCACAGAGATCCGCCTGCCTCTGCCTCCTGAGTGCTGGGATTAAAGGCGTGCGCCACCACCACCCGGATGAAATGGAAAGCATTTGTTAGACTTATAATTAGTTTAGATTGAATGGCCATGCTGTTTGATGAACTACTTCTTCTAATTAAGAGATCTCTTTTGTTCAAATCTAACCTTTACTAAATTTGATGGTATCTATAGTTTTTCTTCTGTGGAAACAAAAGCAAAACCTCTCCAATATAACACCTATCCTGTTTTCCGTTCTGAGATCAACACATCTTTAAAGTATACAGACTGATTTAATTCAGCAGTTTTTTCCTGTTATCCAATAAAGCATTGTGCAATCTATCTCTGGGGGTCTTTATTACCCCTTCTGTTTATTAAGCATATCTTTTAGAGTTTGATTAGATCTTTCTATAACTGCTTGTCCTGGAGGACTGTGTCGTATACCTGTAATATGCTTTATGTTGTAATATGCAAAAAAACTGTTTCATTTTACTAGAGACATATGCTGGATCATTGTCAGTCTTAATTTGTATAGTTATTCCCATGGCCATAACTTTTTTTTTTTTTTTTTTTTGGTTTTTCAAGACAGGGTTTCTCTGTGTAGCTTTGGTGCCTATCCTGACATTCGCTCTGTAGCCCAGGCTGGCCTCGAATTCAAAGATCCACCTGTCTCTGCCTTCCAAGTGCTGGGATTAAAGGCGTGCGCCACCAACGCCCAGCAGGTTTACCCTTCTTAGAGTAACAGCTGAATTGGGCACAGGCAGTGGGCAGTTGTGGTGAATGTCTTCTCAAGCTCTGTTGGCAATGAACCCCTGGGCACGCTCAGGTAGAAGGGGGCTCTCTTTGTACAGGGTTGGCTTGCCAAACCCACTGCGCTGCCTTGACTAGGAAGATGAGCTCTCAGCTCATGATCCCCTCCACTGTAGAGATTAAAGACTTCCTCTCAGAGAGAGCGGCTCTCCTGAGCCAAACAGCGGTGATAGTTGGCTTGCCGCCATCATGTTAGGCCAGCTTTCTGCCAAGGCTGGAGCAAATGGCTCCCCCTTCAGCTAACCCACAGGAGGCAAAGTCCAGGCCAAATTAGCCCCTTGGGGAGCACAGTGCTTGCACATAAATGCTTTCTCGGCCTCTTTGGCAGAGCCCCTTTTTTTTTTTTTTTGAGACCAAGTCCTTGGCATAGCCAGGGATGGACTGAGGCCCTTGTATGCTTGACTTTGCCAAGGCACCCAGAGAATGTCTGCTGTGTGTTAAAGTGGAAGGAACCCAGACCAGGAGAACCCAAGAGGTGGGACAAGGTGCCTGCCCCCGATTTGGGTCACGTCTGCTCCAACAGGAGGCTGAGCCAGTTGGATGGTGGCGGAACTCAGCAGCCACCCTAGGCTTTCGGGCTGCATAAATCTGAGCTATGTCCTAGAGGAACTCAGTAGGGACCCAGACCTCGATGCATGCTCAGCCTTCACCAAAGAGGCTGTTTCTGGCTGTGGGTGGTAATTAACACAGAGACCCACAGCTGGACGGTGTGCAGAGAGGAGAGACTGGGGAGCACCCAGCCCTGAATGGGACGTCTTCACCAAACCCTCCCCGGGGCTCAGGGGTCCATCGGAAGAGGGGGTGAAAAGACCCATAAGAGCCAGAGGTGATGAATGGCTGCAGGAAACGGTCTCCACACACAACGGGGCTGACGCTCATACAAACTCAGACTGCAACAGCATGTCCAAGGCCTGCACAGGTTCAAACCGGACAAAAACCTGAGCACAGACGAGGGGAAGTGGACCCAAAGTCCCACCCCTAACCCAGCAGCTATTTGTAATTGATAATTGCTACGGGAGGGAAAAATCGGTTTTCTCCAATGGAGTGTCCCTGGGTTTACCAACCACACAAACCCAAAATGTTATGCATATAATTTTTTAAGTGTAGTAATAATAATGATGATGTAAAAGCAAGCGGTGCTTAGGAATCCCGGCGGGAAAGAAAGACTTAGCAGTGGGTGGCTGTGAGTGGCCCTCCTCACCCCAGCTCTGCGAGCACCCCACAGGAAGCTGAGAAAAGCAGAGGCTCAACAAGGAAGTGTGCATGGCTCCCTAGGGGCTGCGCCTCGCTGCCCTCTGCTCCCTGACAAGTGTCTCCCCCACCCCCAACCCACCCTGTCTGCATATGGGTGTCCTGGTGGGCTGTTCTAGTCCAGACAAGTTCAAAGGCTACTCCAGCATTTCCCTGGCAGATAGAAATACCCTTCACCCCCAGAGGCAGAGCTGCCCACACCACGGGAAAATACTAAGAGAGAGGCCGGGCGTGGGTGGCGCACGTCTTTAGTCCCAGCACTTAGGAGGCAGAGGCAGGCGGATCTGAGTTCAAAGCCAGTCGAGTTGGTCTTCAGAGGAAGTTTCAACCAGGGTTACACAGAGAAACCTCTTAAACAGTCTCCTAAAAGAATAAACACCAAAGAAGAGGTCACGAATTTGAGAGGGAGTTGGGGGAGGACACAGGAGGAGCCAGATGAGGGAGAAGTGGGAATGTTAATATAGCACTCATTTTCAACATTCAAAATTCGTTCTAAACTTTATTCAGAAACACAAGTTCTCAAAAGTTAAAATAGAAATGTACGAGATGGTGGTATGCTAACTATCAACTCATCTCACAAAATCGTACAGCAGCATCGTGTATGCGTAAGGTAATGCCCCTCGACCTGTGCAGCCTCCAGGGACTTGGACCTGACCAGGTAGTAAGGGAATGAAGAAAGACTCACAGACCCAAGGACACACAGAAGCTGGGTTGGGGGGGCTGGGCTTTCTGACAGAGAAAACAGCACCCCAGAAGCTTAGGCTGTGTCCCACGTAAGACAGAACAGAGGTGGGGTGGGGTGGTCTGAATGAGGGTGGTCCCCAGAAACTTGTGTATCTGAATACTCCGTCCTCAGTCGATGGGACCCTACTGAAAGTATTAGTAGGTGTGGGTGGCCTTGTTGGTGGAGGTGTGTCACTTTGGGTGGGCTCTGAGGTTTCGAAAGACTCGTGGAATTCCCAGTGCCCTCTGTCTCTGCCTTGTGGCTGGAGATCAAGACGGAAGTAGGCTCTCTTGCCACTGTCCTCGCTCAACCATCGTCCAAATTAAATGCTTTCCTTTATAAAGTTCCTTGGTCATAGCACAGCAATAGAAAAGTGATTTAAGACTTGGAGTTATTACATACAGCAGAGCAAAGAGGCGGGGCCATTACAGACAGGCTGGGAGGCGGGGCTATTACAGACAGGCTGGGAGGCGGGGCTATTACAGACAGGCTGGGAGGCGGGGCTATTACAGACAGGCTGGGAGGCGGAGCTTTACAGACAGATAGGTAGGCGAGTCTGTCATACACAGCTGAAGATAGATGAGTCTAGGTAATCTCAACACGCCACACGCAGCGTCTGTAGGGGAGCAGCCTCCAGGCTGTAAATACGGGTGAAAACCATGATGGACATCTTCCGCACTCACCGTCAACACCCGTATTTGGTCCCCACAGAAGGCTTTGCCACCCCTCTGAGCCTCACCCTGTTGGTGGGGGGCGCTTTGCCATTTCCCTCTGGTCTAAGGCTCTGGGGTCCTTTACATGGCCACACCCATGTCAGCAACACACATTCACTCAGGACTTCCCCCACTTCCTCCATACACACTTTTGGTTGATTACAGTGTTTTCATTAAACGAATTAAAGTATGTGTTAAGCAAATGTGATAGCCACCACGACGAGTAAACCTCCTAGGTATTTAAAGAAATGAGAGGTGTGTGCTCTGTCCAGACTGAAGGCTGGGGATTGGGTCAGCCCCGTGGTGTGCCACAAAGCCCCATAGGCAGTGAGTGGGGTACGTGCACGTTCCAGGATGGCCTCTCGGGGCAGACAGGGCCTGGGTTCCCATCCGCCCTCTTAGAAAGAACTCGCTCTGTGAAGACCCGTGCTCTTGAACCTCAAGGCTGGACATGAAAACATGGTCTCTACATCCCTCCAACTGCCGCCCAGGGGATGAGTCACATGCATCTCCAAAGGGCAGGCCCCAGCCCCTGGGGATCCTCCTACAGACGCTTACACGCCACCATAAACTCTCTTCACACCCACGCCCCACACGCACATGCATAGCCACGCACGTGTCCCACACTGGCATGTACTCACATAACCAGTTCACATGTGCTCTCTCAAACTTCGTGCGCGCATACTCGGAGGTACGTATGCACACTATCTACCCATAACAGCCCTCTCTCAAATAACCACGCAGTCACCCACCCACAGTGTCACACAGAGTCAGCGTGGGGGCTGAGTCCGGGCCAGGGTGCAGGCAGGACTGTGTCCCTTTGCTGTTGCCAAGAGTCGGGGACACAGAGACGGTACAGCCGTGTCCACCGGTAAAGCTCCCCGCTGGGGCAAGGAGGTCTTGGCCTCAGCATGCTGACATACCTCATACCCAGGAAGATCTCAGGAGCTGCCTGCCTAGCCACCCAGACTCCTGTGGCCGCCCACGGACCTTCTGCGCACACAGCTCTGAAAGCTTCAATGATACTAAGCTCTTCCTAAAAGCGGGAGTCAGGTATCACCCCAGAGGGTCTCTCAGACAGCAGGACCAGGCATTCACTCTCCAGCTCCTCCTCCCCAAACCACTTCCCAGGACTCAGCAGGCCTCCTCCCTGGGCCAGATCATAGCGCACTCAGGCCCAGCATAGTTGTCTCTGCAAATGGGACGGATGTCTGAAGCTCCTCCTGGACGGGGCAAACCCAGAGTCCTAGCCATGGACACCCTGCCATCTGGGTTCTGACATTCTCTCACCCGCCCATTGCTCCAACTGACTGGACTTGCCAAGAGCCACCCGAGGGGGTGGGGGTGGGGGTTGTGGCCTCTGCCCAGCAGGGCTGCTGGCTCTCAGATGCTGCCTGTGCACCTGGAGCCCCTGTGACTTCCTACAGTGGCTTCATAAATCCTGCTCAAGAAGGCGCTAGCCCTTGGCTCCTGCTAGGAACACCTGACCGAATCCTGAGTCTATACCAGCAGTCAGATCCCACCGAATAAGACCAAGGATGGGGGGAGGCCAGATAGCGTCTCCAGCCAGGTCCTTTCTCCGCCTCTGCTCAGGGAACCCACACCAGGGACCTGACTTCCCAGGCCAGGAAACTGGGCCAACGGCTTTGCGGATCAGTTTAACTCTCTGCCACGCTCACAGCTCTGCACTTTCCACACTCCCAGCTTTATAACTGGCACCAGAGCCCAGGCCAGGTCCAGGTCCCAGACTTTAGAAATATTTCCGTCCTTTTTGGGCTGGGGTGGGGGGGAGGCATCAGCAGCAATGCCTCCCCCACCCCAGCACCTTCCCCCATCCCACCCAGCCATTAACGAGACTACTTGGGCTAGCTCTCTTTGGTCTAGAAATCACTGAACTCTGTCTTCTCAGGAAGGTCTCCTGGCCCAGGGTCCCCACCCTCCCAGGGTGGAGCTGCTGAGAAGCAAGAACTATACAGAGAACTGTGTGTAGTTGGCTTTTTTTTTTGAAGAGGGGTTCCACTCAGCTCCCAAATATACAGAGGTTTATTCTTAGTTACAGATGCCCAACCTTAGTTTAGCTTATTTCTAGTTAACTTGCCTAACTTAAATTATCCTGTTTCCCTTTTACCTTTCTTTATTTTATGTATCTTTCTTTCCTTCTTAATCTGTGACTGGGAAGAGTGGGTGGTCTCCGGTGTCTTCCTTTTTCTCCTTCTCTCTCCTCTTAAGCCTAGATTCCTTCTATTTATTCTCTCTGTCTACCACCTATCCTTTCCCTACCCAGCTACTAACTGTTCAGCTCTGTATTAGACCAATCAGGTGCCTTAGGCAGGCAAGATAAAAACAGCTTTTCATAATTAAACAAATGCAATATAAACAGATGTAACACATCTTTACATGGTTAAAGTAACATCCCACAGCATAAACAAATGAAACACACCTTCACACAGTTAAATACTCCACAGCATAAACAAATGTAACACACCTTCACACAGTTAAATTAATACTCCACAGCATAAACAAATGTAACATACCTTCATACAGTTAAACTAATATGCCACAGCATAAACAAATGTAACACACCTTCACACCGTTAAACTAATACGCCACAGCATAAACAAATGTAACACACCTTCACACAGTTAAGCTAATATTTCACAGCATAAACAAATGTAATATATCTTTTCATAATTAGACTAACATTCCACAACACTATACTCTTTGCTTGGTCTCAAGCTCGCTGCAGTTCTGTGACATGGCAGCCCTCTAATCTGCAGGGATGTGGCCAAATGCCCTCCAGAGTAGGGACCCTATGAACAGGCCCTTTCCTAGACACACACACACACACACACACACACACACACACACACACACACACATGCTAAAGTTTTAATTAGGAATGGCAAAACATTAATAACAACAAAAAATTGCAAACATTCTAACGGGAAAAAAAGGTTGCTTAAAACTTTGGAGTTATTTGTAAAAATTTTCCAGCTAATATTTTTGGACTTCAGTTGACCACAGGGAACAGAAATAAGGACATAAACTTGCGGACAGAAGAGACTGTTTTTCTCGGGGAGGTGGCATGCCACTGGCCCCCTATGGGTGCGAAAGCTGGGCATGGCTCTACCGTGCTGAGAAACACCGCTCTCCCTACATCCACTCACACATCTGTTCACCCAGCATGCTGCCACTGAGCCCCTAAGCAGGCAGTAATCTAACCAAAGCCTGGCCCTGGACCACCGGGATGCAATTCAGGGACGGTCTGGGTTGGGGCAGGGAAGGAAGTGTGATTACCCTGCTTACTCCTGGAAAAAAAATATCAGGTATTTCTTTACAGCCGCCATGCTGGAGACCAGAGGGTGCGCACTACATCTAAGTTTCTTCTCGGTTCCCAGCCCAGCTCACATCTATAGATGAGGCTTCCACGGTGAAGGGATGGTGGCATGAGCCGTGAGTGAGGTTCTGGAGGCATCGGAACAGCTGGAAAGTGCCCTCTGCTACCCTGTGAGAAAGCTTGATGGCTCGCCAGACTGTGGGAAGCAAGACACTCTGACGCTCAGCAAGTTCAGGGGATAGTGACAGTGTGACTATGTAACAGTGTAATAGTATGACAGTGTGACAATGACAGTGAGAGTGTGACTGTGACAGTGTGACTGTGTGACAGTGTGACTGTGTGACAGTGTGACAGTGTGACAGTGTGACTGTGTGACAGTGTGACTGTGTGACTGTGTGACAGTGTGACTGTGTGACAGTGTGACCGTGTGACAGTGTGACTGTGTGACAGTGTAACTGTGTGACTGTGTGACAGTGTAACAGTGTGACAGTGACAGTGTGACAGTGTAACAATGTGACAGTGACAGTGTGACAGTGTGGCACAGTTTAATTACTGTCACAGGCAGTAGGACCAACCGTGAGCAGCTTGGGTGCACTGTATTCCCAGTAGCGGGTGGCCCTGCGGCCTGTGCAGCCCCTGGATGCGGTGAAGCACCTCCCGCTCTGTGATAGGCAGAATCAGTCTTATCTAGACATTGCTTTCCCCACTGCTGCCTTTCTGAGGGCAATAAAACAGGGTCGGGTGCAGCTCGCTGGTCTATTTACATTCCTCCCATCATTTGCCTGTAACTGTCCCTTGCCTCCAACATCTTAGTAAGCAACTTTAGCCAACCTTCCTCCGAGGAAAAAAAATGTGGATTCTGGAGCCGCATCGTCTGGGTTTGAATCCTGTCTCTGTCTTTTATGAGCTTGGGCAAGTTTACCCAACCTCTCCGCATCTCGGCTTTCTTGTCTATAAAATGGGAGCATAAACAGTAGCTACTTCAACGGACCGCAGTGAGGATTCATCCTTTAATATGTCCAACGTTCTTAGAACAGCACCCGTTCACGAGTGGACAGCAGACCGGCTATTAGTATGATGTAGGTCATGAAAGCGACCAATGGAAGAACCACAGTGTACCGTCAAATTAGCCAGGCAGTAGAAAGGGTGTGGTGGGAGTGGGCGGCCCTAAAGGTGAGGGGCGTTTCTAATCCGCCCCCCCCCACCCCAGCCAGGCTTCCATGGACACCAAGGGTGACAGATCAACACCGTTGCTTTAATCTCAGCACTTGTAGTCATGGAAGTCACTGGAGATGGTTCCCTCTGGTGATGGGCAGACCGCCAGGGGGAATGTTTCCTTTTTCCAGCCCTCTGTGCTGCCTGATGTCCCCTCACACAGACAGACTACGTGTGTGCTTAAAGATAAGTCCCCGTTGAGCCACAAGTTACCAACTGCAGCTGCCATCTAGAGGACCACAGTGGGTATCCATGCGTATCCGTAGTCCCCGGTGGAGATACTTACAGCACAGGAGTACGCGACCGCTATGAGCCAGGGTGATGTGAGCTCTCCAGGTCTGTGCTCGCCCCGAGGCTTCAGTGGAGATAAAACTTACCCCTCTGGTCCGTGGGTGCCTCTGGTCTTTCCAAATCCCCCAAGGATCCTGGCACTGTAGCCGAGCCAATATGTCACCCCAGGGACAACAGAAACTCAGGAGGAGTCCAGGGTCCACTGATGGCTTTGTTCAAAATACAGGCATTGAGTGTTTGAACACACTCCCGGGAACTAGACTGCATGAATTCCGGTCTGAGCCTTAAGCCCACTGGGGCTGCTTCCTGCCTGTGACAAAGCTGAGGCCCTGGGAACTGTAGCAGCTTGGCAGGGGGCGGCGTCTACAACACCGGGCTGCCTGGTGGGCTGGGTACCACATGCCGGGGGTTCACCCTAAACGCGCCTGATCTCGTCTGGGGGTTCCAGTTCAGTAGAGATTTCAAGAACGTTCAGGAAATGTTTCTGACAAGGTTGTGAGTGATTGCGCCACTGGAGATCGGGGGAACAAATGACGAATGAGCTGGAGGACTCCTGGGCGGCCTGTGATTCTCCCACAGAGGCGAGAGGCCAAAGAGACGCTCGGACCGGGCGTTGGTGGCACACGCCTTTAATCCCAGCACTCGGGAGGCAGAGGCCGGCCACAGAGTGAGTTCCACGACAGGCTCCAAAGCAATACAGAAACCCTGTCTTGAAAAACCCAAGAGAGAGAGAGAGAGAGAGAGAGAGAGAGAGAGAGAGAGAGAGAGACTCGGTAAGCTGTCATCTCTCCTCTCATTCCAAAACAAATTGGCTTAAAGGCTCCTGGCAGATTAGGGAGAGAACTCAATAAAGACGGCTTGCCATGCAGACAGGAGGATTTGAGTTCCATCCCAATGCCCACGTTAAAAAAAACAAAATCTGGATGTGGCAAGGTCCTAGTCACTGGTGTGAAGATACCATGGCCAAGACAACGCTATCAAAGGGAGCCTTTAACAGTCTCAGAGGCTCGGCTCATCAGGAAGCATGGCGGCATGTAGGCAGGTACTGGAGCCGTGTCTGAGACCTTTACACTCTGATCTGTGTGTGTGTGGGGAGAGAGAGAGAGAGAGGGAGAGGGACAGACAGGGAGGGAGAGGGAGGGAGGGAGAGATTGAGCCTGGCATGGGCTTTTCACACTCTTCCTCCAACAAGGCCCCACCTACTCTAACGGGGCCACACCTCCTAATCCTTCTAATCCTTTCACAGTGCCGCCTCTGGTGACCAAGTCTTCAAATATATGAGCCTATGGGGGCCATTCTCAAGCTTATAATATAGTGAGGTGTGTTTGTGGTGTGTGTGGTGTGTGGTGTGTGTGTGCGTGTGTGCGTGTGTGTGCATGTGTGTGTGGTGTGTGTGGTGGTAGAAAGAGGACAAGACTTGCTGAGCCAGTGAATGCCGGGTCCCAATGAGAGAAAAAGCAAGATAATTGGGTGTGGTGGTACATGCCTTTAATCTAGGCACTCAGGCCCGGAGAACAGAAGGATTCAAGGCCAGCCTGCTGCTCTCTCTCTCTCTCTCTCTCTCTCTCTCTCTCTCTCTCTCTCTCTCTCTCTCTCTCTCTCTCTCTCTCTCTCTCTCTCTCTCCCTGCCTTTTAGCCTGTGAAACAGGTGGCTGAGACCAGCACCCTGGTGAACTAAGACACAGTTGAGAATGGACACACGTTTTTCCCTTACCCTCTAACAACTCCGGACCTGATGGCACAGACACCATCCCCATGTCTGTCGCCAGCATCGTGGGCGGGTCATCACATGTGAAGCCTTCCCACCAGCTGCCGGTTAGACGCAGGACAGATCACTCTGCACTCAATGAGCCGTCACCTCTCCATCCGTCAATTGGGACAGCGACACCCTGACCTCACAGGACTGCTGGGGGGGCACTTGCTAAACGGAAGGTTCAAATGATGTGACCGGGACACAGTGCTCATCTAACACCCTGCTCACAACTGGGAGAGAAATAGCGACATGTTTGTGTTGGAGGCGGTTTCATGCTGTCCTCAGAGCCTGTTCTGTTTGCCCCACCAGATGAGCATTTGAGGCCGCAACTGTCACATTCCGTCTCCATGGACTTTATCCATGGAGACTCCTCAGGGGGCTCTGGCCCAGAGTTTACCTTCTCTGAAAGAGTGTGTGGTTTTTTTTTTTTAATTTAAGTTTAAGGGCTGGAGAGATGGCTCAGCCGCTAAAGGCAAGGCTCACAACCAAAAATATAAGTTTAAATTGTGTGTGAGGGGTGTGTGTGGTGTGGTGTGTACCCATGTAGTGTTTTGGTGCATTCTTCCCTCTTAGAAGCCAGAAGAAGGCATCAAATTCCCTGGAGTTGAAGTTATAGTAAGTAG